CCGATGACTTTTCGACATTGACGTCTGATCAGGATATTGTTCACTTACGTTCGAACTTCTTCACTGCAAACAATTTGCAACTACAGCCAGGACTACCGGCTAGAACTCGATGTACAAGTCGATGACGTAATAATTCCGACTATAAACAAGCCGAAGTTATTGGGAGTCACAACATTCGACCGCTTGCACACCTAGACGGCAAATGCTTCAAAATTCCTGTGCCGCGAACTCCGCGTAAGCCGACAGTACCTAGCGAAAAGACAAGGCAGCGTGGTGGACAACTCGCAAGGCAACTAGTCGGCCGGCCGTAAACTATGCTGCGCGGTGGACTAGCGAGATGCAAATGAAAGCTGCCAAACAACGCCGTCAGGACCGTGACAGAGAACCTTCTGATTTCGCCAGCTATGCTACGAGTTAAGGAGCAAAATGCTTTGCTCTGCAACCAATTTCTGCTGGGATGCTACCATAGGGCACACATCCAACCAGGCACAACAGAGAAGTAATACTCGACCTTAAGGATTGTAAACAGCTACACCTACAAAAACCGCTAGGCAGAACGGCATACAGATAAGCATTAAACTCCATCACTGAGAGTCCGTCAACACTTCTCTGAACTTTTTTTCACAGAATGTCGTTCTCGAAGTCAAACCACCAACTATTGCAGGCGAGGAGCCCGAACTTCATTCACCGAGAGTTCATCAATACTATCCTGAACTTACTTCCACAGAATGTCGTTCTCGGAGTCAAACCAGCAACTATTGCTTGCACTACCTTGCGAGTCCCGCATAATAGTGGCACAACTGAGATCTGGATATTGTAGTAGACTAAACCTCCCTACCAATTCACACCTGAAACATCATGCATTGAGACCCCGCACTTTACTAATCACCTTTTTACATGCCCATGAAAACCAACTCATCTATCCTCCCTTTAACTTTAGTCCGAACCCATCGATACAACTAGTTTCCTGGATCGCCCGTTAGATGATCTCGATGACTCAGACGTATCTTGCATGTTCCTAAGTGAGATTGGCAAGCCGCCACTACAACAACAACAACAACAACAACTAGGTTACAAAGCCAATTTTCCTAAATGGCTCTTCGAATAATTGCTGTATTGGGCAAAATCCAATTATTTACTTAATATAATATGTTAAAGATAATAAAATTCCAAGAACATATACATACATACATATGTATATACATAAATTCATATTTATTTTGCAAACTCGTGCAAATTATAAAGAAATCTTGATTGTAACGGCAGCCCATGCTAAATAACTTAATTTGTGAGCATAAATATAATATAACAAATATATATATATATATATATATATAATATATTATTTGTATATGTGAATATGTAATAAATATGTGAATATGTAAATAAATGGAAATGCCGCTTTATATCGGATTGTTTTAATTTTCTGATATTCGTACATATGTATGTATTAACGGTTATGTTTAGCGGTCAAGTCAGCACTAATTTCGGCCTCTCTTATCATATAAAATGCGAATTTATGTTTATGTTCATATTTGTCATGCTTACATATGTATGTATGTATGTATATATATATGTAAATTTCGTATCAAATTAAAATTTAGTAAGTTGTCCTTCAAAACGTTTATTGACTCGCAGGTTATAACCGGCCGGAAAAAAAATGCTGATATAATTTGTAGGCCCACTAAATTTCTTTTATATACATACATGCATACATACGTAAATACATAAATATATTTTGATATTTTTGTTGTAAAATTCATAAGTTTATATTTAAGTTTAGTGAACTTAATTAACATCAATTTGCTGTTTTTCAAAATCAATGCGTTATATATGTGTGTATGTAAATAAATGTGGTTGGAAATTCGTATCTTATACAATAGAAAAAAAAAATGCTTAAGAAAACGTAATTGAAAAATAATCAACTCACCGCACCTTAGATTAACGAAAGTTCGGAAAGTTGACCAGAAAACAAAAAAAAACAACTTTTTGCATTTATGTGTCAGCTTTGTCCTTCTCCATCTTTTCATTTCATTTGCATTTCTTAAGCCAGAAGATCCACTTCTGAAAACAATGTTCAAAATCTTGCCATTTAAGCTAATCAAAGTCAACATTAACCGTATTAATTATTTCGTCGACCTTTCCTTTTAAACTTTTTTTGATATTTTTGGATATAACCAGAAATCACAAGGTGCTATATCCGGCTAATATGGTCCCGGACGTTTTTCTTCGATACCAGAGATAACAATAAGATTACTCGTCATTTCACCAGTGTGGAATGGCGCGTTATCACGGTGTAAATAGCTGCACCACAAATCCTCTTTCTTCCCGTTCTCCAACAAATTTTTGAAAATTTTTGTTAAACACTCTTCGGTGTGTCATTTTGCAGGTTACCATCTAACCCTATTCCAGTGGAATAGCAGCTACGATTTTAGAACGGGCGAAGTAAACTGACTTCATTACTTTTCCTGCTGATTTTTGTTGCTTAGATTTTACAGGTGGATTTGCTCCTGTTGGGCTCCATACCATGGACTGGAGGGTTGGTTTCCGGATCGTCCACAAAAAGCCAAAATTCGTCACCAGTAACTACTTTACTAAAGTTGCTGGACTGACCATTTTCGTATTAGTTTAGGAAAAATTCAGGAAAATGCGTTCGAGTCTCTTTTTGGGCCTCATTTAAATTTTGTTGTACCCATTGAGCAGATTTCTTCTTGTTTCCCAGATAATTACTTAATATTCGCGATACAACCATGGCATTTAAGCTCAATTCATTAGCAATTATTTCTTGTGTCAATCGTGGATCTTCGTCAGTTTTTGACTTCACCAGAGCGAGACAGTGACCTCATCAGTGGAAGATTTTTCTCGAACTTCTCGTGGCTCGTCCACAACGAAAATATGTTAAGTCTGGAATCTTCGGAACCACTTAGAAACAGTCTTTGAAGACGGTGCAATCGTTCCATATGCCACTTGACATTCTCTGAATATTTGGATTGTCTGTATATTACGCCGAAACCCGAAGAGAATCACTTGGTGAATATTTGTTTGCGTTGGTGAAGGAATTTCGTCTGACCTATCCTCAGCTATCTTGTGTTTGTTTGTCTCGCAGCGCACTTAGGTATTTTAAGAGATTCCTTCCACCTCTCTAAATGCTCAAACTTCTAAAATTAGGTCTGTTTTATGATCTTTAGCTGACTAATGAGGCCTACCCATGCAGACCTTGTCTTACCGAATCAAAGTGGAAATTTCCAAGAAAACGATACAGGTTCACATTGAGTGCTGACCAGTGGCGGAGCTAATGTTCCACCAACTCCTCATCAACTGTTTATCTGCAGCTGCGGCTAAAGCCGTTTGAGAAGAGGTCCTTCCTTATAGCATGAGTACTCTTAAGACAGGAGTAGGGACTTAGTTCTGTTTACCTTGTTCAATAGTCAAATTTATCCGCTCAAACTGCACATGGTCTCACCCCGCCATCGGCGATACTTTGCCGAAAAAAGCAATGTGCCCACGTCATGTGCAGAGTTCACCGTGGTTATGCTTGTTTTCCTTACGGCCAGTTCGTATCTCATGCCGAGGCAAATTTGCCCGAAAAGAGACTGGAGAAGATCGAATGGTTTATATATTCTTTCAAAAAGGAAACCATTACAAAGGTAACGCGGATCTGGACGGGATATTGCCTTTTATGATTATCAAGGCGCTCTTTGAGAAGTTGTTGTGAAAGCTGCGAGGTTTGGCTGATGATCGGGATAGGAAGACCTGAATTAATCCGTTGGTTAGTTGTTCCATATAGTTCTCAAAATGGCGTTTTTAAGGTCGCAAGTCATGCAAATATAATCATATAAGGGTATTTCTCTCTAATCGATAGGTAACATGTGCTATTACGCTTGAGATTAGTTAAAACTAACCAATCTTTATTTTGAAAAACACCAAAAATTCGTAATTTCTCTTACCCCAGTATATGAGCGGAGAGTTTTTTTGTATTCCTGAAGGATAGTGATTAAGAATCCTTAACCAGCGACCACAATAGTAGAGTGGCGAGCATTACATTTCACCATTCTGAAGGCCCGGGCTCGAAGCCTGGCTCGACCAAAATCCAAAACTATAGAAATGTAATTTTTCTAATTGCTATCGCCCTCGACAGGGATTGTCAAGCCATCCGAATGTATTTCTGACATGAAATAAAAGGTCCTAAAATCAGAGGGGCAGCTGGGCTGAAAACCGCTTCAGAAGTTATAAAATGCTATACGAGTTTAAGGCATCCCTCCCGTACAAAGAGACTAAAAATATAGTTTTTACCGCAGTCGAGTCTTTGCAGCTGAACGACCCGAATTTTTATCAGGTCATGGATTGTCACTCTCACAACAATTCCAAAAGTACAAATAACAACAGTCGGAGTTTTTCACATGCTGTGATATCTGGAAGTACAAGAACTTCAGATGTCTCAAGAAAATGTTACTTTACGGTATCAGAATAGAAAAAATCTTCGACTAATGTTCAATCTGCAACCTTTTGTGTAAGTTGTAGAAGACTTTCGTCCGAAGTTTTCGTCCAAGTGCACGTAGATATTATTACTATATCCTGCAGAGAGGGCTGAGATAGGGAGCTACATCGCAATGTTTATTTTTACCGTTAGTTTTACTACAAGCACCGAAATATTATTAACATACAGTTAAAGAGTAGAAATACTGCATAGTTATATTCGATAAAAAAAAAAAACTAAATAAAAATATAAAATACGTAATTAATTGACTTGAACGAAAGCTACTAAAATTTCATGAAAAGAGTTTTGTACCATAAACGCTATGTTAACAATATTAAACAACCATATCGTAAGTAAAACTTAAAGAAAATGAAAATATATTCAAAAATATTGTTTAATTAATTATACTAAAAATTCACTTTTAATTCACGAATCTCATAAAAATAATTCACTTTTATTATCTGGGCACTCTCCTCGCTATTGTCTGCCGCTCAAATGCATTGAAAATAAAACCTGGTCACACCAACAGCTGGCGTGCCTGCTTAACAAACAGCTGTTAGTCTGCTTTGTTTTGCTACTCGCGTGCTCGCTTCTATGCTTGTGCAGTGTATATTTTGTGTTTTTATTCTTGATTTGTGCTAATTTTAAGTGAAATAATCTCTCCAATACTATTTATTGCTAATTTGGAATAAAAACAGTGAATTATGCTTCGAAAAGTACCGTTAATTGTTGTATTAGGCTCTACCGGCACCGGCAAAACGAAACTGTCGCTGGAGTTGGCCGAACGCTTTGGTGGCGAAATAATCAGCGCCGATTCAATGCAGGTATGTTAAAAGTGTGGCGTCTGGGCGACAGGGTTGTTAAAAGTTGTGCTATTAATTTTTTTCTTACTAAAATTTCACAAAATATATTTTTTTTTATTTCTTTCAATTACATAATTTTTTTTGTATGCTACTGTGAACTACTAAATACACATGACCGAGGGAGTGTGATTTTTTGCGCGGAATGAGAATGTTATTAAACTCATGAAGATCGTAAAGTGTTAAGTGACTCATGTGGAATTGACCATAAGCCACGTGGTCACCTTTTAGGCCTTTCAAAATCCTTCAGTCTCTTCATGTAGCCAAGCGTGGCGTTTTTTTCTGAACTCTGCCTCCCCTTCCGGATGTAAAGAGGGTTTGTTTCACAATTATTTTCCTGTTTTTTTTTTCATTCCAGTTTAACATAGGTTTTGTCATATCTATATGAGCTTAGAAATTTTTCTGCCTTCACTAGCTCGGCCGCTGGGATTTACTTGATCTTGGGAATCAGATCAGAGCTGTGTAATGTGTTCGAGAGTTTATAACCAATTTTGATGTGATTTAGAGATTGTAGAATTGGCTAATGGCAACTCGGCTGTTATGACTTATTGTAATTGATTGCCTTATGGTCTCAGAGACAGTAGCTCTTCGGAAGCTTCCACAATAGTACTTCTACTTGTATAATCCTGCAACGATTTGGAACCCTTAGGTCCATCTTAGTTGAGCACATGGGTGTGTGGATTCCACAGTTTGTGGTTTTTAGTTCGTCTGGTTGGGAATCAATTAGAAGAGAATATTAAAGCAGAAAAGAGTTGACAGCTCTTTTGAGGCAGTCGATGGTAGAGCTCCAGTTGACTTCTGAAAGTAACAAAGTCCCGTTCACGTTGGGCTACATATAGAGAGGAAGGCTTAAATATGAGTGGCAATACCATACAAATGGCCGCAGTTACTTGGCCATCAATCAAACAGTCGACACATTCGCGACTCGGCTCCCACGTCTTCGTCGATCTTGAAACAATTATTAACATGAACAAGAATGTCAACCTTGAAAACCAACGCAATAGGTGCTACTTTGGGTTGAGTAGGTAATTGAAAAGAAAAGTCCGCTCTCGACTAACGCAGACAAGTCGCTCATTGGTTCCCTCCCGTTATATGGTGCAGTGGCTAGGACGATAACAACATCTGGTGAGTCGGCGTTAGAACTCTTCGAGAGAAAGGTTTTGTGTAAAATTTATCGTCCTCTACGATTTGGTAACGCCGAATACCGCAGCCGATGGAACGATCAACTGTACGAGTTATACGACGATTTTCACCGAGTTCAGCGAATCAATAAACAACAGCTACATCAAGCAACAGCTCTGGCTAGGTGATGTGGTCTGTACCGATAAGCATACTTCAGCTTTGAAAGTTTGCGAAGCAGTACCTGCCGTTAAAAGCAGAGAAAGAGGAGTACCGTTGGAAAAACCAGGTGGAGAGCGTCTTGGTTTAATCTGGTATTTCCAATTGGCGTTGAACTGCGACAAGAAGAAAAGAATTTGGCTAAGAATGTTTCTAAATTCACTCTCTATTTTGAGGCGGTCGGGTTAGCCGAGTGGCTAGCACTGCATACTGTCATTCGGAAACACAGGGTTACAGTCCTGGTACGACCAACATCCAAAAATTATAGAAAATTAAAAAAATAAATTGATTCTTCAAATCGCGGTCACGCGGTCAACCCCTCCGAGAGTATTTCTAATATTAAAATCAAAGCTTCTTATAAAAAATCATCAGCCGTCCAGCGGCGGCTTGGAAAAGCATTGAAAGACCGCAAAAATTGGAGGAAGAGCTGGGCTGAAAATCCTATAGAAGTTAAAAACTGCCAGCTACTTATATGTGTCTGTATGTATATAAGTCCACGATGACACAAATCTTTTTTCGATACACCCAACAACTCCATTCATTGGGGAGTAAGTGAAAATATCAAATTAGCCGTTCTTCTTCCTATGAAATGTCAATTCTCTAAGGTAGATTAAGGGGCACACCTAGTGTGAAATTTCAAAAAATCGATCTTTTTTTCATATTTATGTAGACTACACCTTTAAAAATAACATATTAAAATTTCAAATCGATATCTCAAATAGTTTTTGAGTTATAGCAATTTAAATAGCAGACGCTCGGCAGCTGGAGAGTCTCATTAGCTACGAGTGAAAACGATCATTTTATCTTTAAACGCGTTTTTCTCGAAACAGCATTTTCCGAATTAGCTGCAGTGATTACTCAAAAAGAAATGATCCGATCACTATCGAATTTTTTTACATGTTCTATATATAGTTCTCCGTACAATGACCTATCGATTTTTGATCTGATCAAAAAGTCGAATTTTGGCAGGCCAAAAACGACCAAAATTTTAGGTAAAATTCAACTATTTTTTTTAAAACGCCGCCATGTTGTCAATTTTTGATTTTTTTTATCGTAGGTCATTGTGCAGACAATATTATCTAGTAGAGAATTTTTTTTCTTGATTTCATCCGCGGAAAAGGCCGGAATCACTTAAAAAATATTTAATTTTTTTCTTCAAAAATTTCACTGTATCTTCTTGAAACATGTATAAATATATTCTTATAATTTTGAAATAATTGATCAAGTATTTTTTTTTAATAAAAATTCCCAAAAATCAACTTTTTTTAGGCCATTACACTAGGTGTGCCCCTTAAACTGCGAATTTCAGTATTTCAATACAAATACAAACATAAACATATATATATGCAAAAAAATCAAATTTATGGCAAACACTAAAATCGGCAATAATCGTTATAAATATTACTTTACTTCTGCGGCCAAACTCTCTCGCACTTTTTTATTGTATTAAAAATGCCCTATTTGACGGCATTTTGTTACAGCCAAAATTACTAACGGCACATAAGTGATTTAATTTTAATAAAAAAAGACTCATTAATTATTCGTTCCATTAATATTAAATCATAAGTATACACATTGTGCATATGTAGATATGTACGTTAGTAATGCTAAAACGTAATAAAAAGCGACAAGCCAATTAAAATCGATTCGAAACACGAGACACTTCTTAAATTGTTTCAAGTCTCTAAAACATTATTTATAATTTAATTATATGCATATACTACAGATACTCTTTTAAATATGTAGTATGTGTATACATATGTACATACATAAATATACAAATATGTATAATTATCTATTTCGTTTCGCAAATTGGTTAAACGAAAAATTAAAGAGAAACCGCAAAAAAAGAATAGAATTTAAAATCAATATTAAAACTAAGCAAACAAAAAATGATTGAAAATTAAAAATGTAGAGTAGTAAAACCCGTTTTAATTTTTCAGGAGTTTATGCTAATTAAATTATAATTATGAATATTGAATAATATGCTTGGTAAATTTTGTATATGGAGATCGGTTAACAGGTGGCATCACATCCAGTTTCTGTTTCAGACATTTTATATACATATATTTTGTTTTTTTTCTCTATAGATTGCATATATATATATATATATATTGTATGCACGTACATATGTATGTACTCTTATTTGCAAAAAAAAAATTAAAAAAAATGCTAAAAGAAGAAAAAAAAATACTAGTGCTAAATCTAATTTCAGTGTTATTGTTGTAAAATCGATTCAATGAAACTTGCAGTTTTATATCAAAATTGAAGTTTAATAAAAAATATAATTTATATTATATAACAATCCCTAAATTTCTTTTATTAACGCTTTGTAAGCGTTGAAGGAGGTTTCGGCTGGGATCCTCCGCAGTTACTACTAATGTGTGTAGAAATAAAAAAAAATCTGGCAATGAAAAAAATACAAAATTTTAATTTTTTATGAATTTGAAGTATTTTATCGTTTTTTAAACTTTTTTTAATAATTTTTTTTTCTTACTTTTAATATTTTGTTTAATTTTTTTTTATACTTTTAATATGTAAAGTTAGTACTAAAGTGTGCAGAAATAAAAAAAATCCGATAATAAAGAAACAAATAGATTTTTCTTTTTATTTAAATTATTTTATCATTTTTTAAACTTTTGCAATAATTTTTTTCTTACCTTTAATATTTTGTTTATTTTTTGTACAGTTTTAATATGAAAAGTTTGTACTAAGATGTGTAGAAATATTAAAAAAAATCCTACAATATAAAAATATACAAAAATTTAATTTTTTACGAATTTAAAATATTTTTTTCGTTTTTTTAAACTTTTTTAATATTTTTTTCTTACCTTTAATATTTTTTAAATTTTTTTTATACTTTTAATATGAAAAATTAGTAGTAAGAAATAACGAAAAAAATTAGACTATTAAGAAAAAAAAAACGTAAAATTTAATTTACTACGAAATAAATTTTTTTGTCGTTTTTTAAATTATTTTTTTAATTATTAATCAAATAATATATTTTTATTTATATATATTAATATATTTTTTATTAATTATTTATTTTTTAATTTTTAACATTTTTTCATTTTTTTATACTTTTAACATTACAAATTTTTATTATACTTTTTTCTACATTTTGTATTTCTTTTTGAATTTTTTTTAAATGCTAGTACGTACATATGTAAATATATTCTAAAACATTTTAATAACTCTCACGTAGTCAAAGGAAGTAGTCTCCTTTAGAACCCGAAAAAAAAACATTTTTTCAGCAGTATTTTTTGAAAGGGTGGAAAATTATTGCGGTGAACGAAATTTTCAAAATATGATTTAATGTATTTAAGCTTCAAAAAAAAATTTGTATCAAAAAATTTTTGGAATTTTCTTATGTTGTGTTGAGTTTTCTGAAGCGGCTGCTGTCTGAACTCGTGAAATGATGCCGGTGATGGAGGTCGTGTGATGCATCTGAAATGGTCTAACCAATTTTTTTATTAATTTCTATGAGTGTTTCTTCAACATGAACTAAAAAATAAAAAGTTTAAAAATTCCCAATTTCTTCGTATTTTGAAAAAAAAATTAATTAAAAAAAAAATCGCTAAGTTACAAAGAAAATACAATAGTTTCAATAATACTTTTACCCAACT